AAATTGTCAGCCACAATAGAAATGTTAAATTCTTGCCCCGTCATATATCATGTAACAATGCATTACAAACTAAACTAGAGGCTGAAGATTATTGAAATTATATATTAGGATGTATTGTATGAATTTTTGGTAATTTTAATATAATCTATTAAACATTGAAAGGAAAGCAAATTATAATCACAGATACAGTTGTTTATCCTATCTGAACATTATACAGTAATATAACTGCGTTGCAATAATATTTATAGGGTAATAAAAAGTTTCATTATACTGATTTATATTTATCAGTGTTCTAGAAGTGCAAGGGTATCCCTAACTGGTTCTAGCTTGTAAAAAATGTTGCCCAAGAGAGATGATTAATAAGTCATAATACCAGAAATGTTCACTCAAGCATCAGAAAGCTGGCTCTTTAAAACACATCTGTTCTGTTCTAAGCTCTGATCATTTTTCTCCATGTTTAGTTACTGGAATATTAGGAATAATCAGCTAACTAGTTGCACTTGGGATACCATGATATTTGTATGGAGTACAGAATGCATATGAGTACATATGAACAGTTTTGCTTGTATGCAAATAATGTGCAGACAGTATATCCGTATGGGCAAATGTGATGTCTACGAGTTCACTGCTCATGAAATAAAACATAAGGAGCATCAGCATACATACTTCAGAGATTATAAAAAGTTAGGTGCAACCCTGGGTGATAACTGGCCTATGTATAAGCATAGCGCAAAATTCCTACAAACTGCTGTAAGTTTTACATTCTGTTATAATACATTTCAGTTATGGAAACAACTTTATTTGAAATCACAGTGTTTGAGAAAGCAGTTTGGCTGCTAATTGTCCTCTTACTCATTTAAAATTGAACTTTAGGCAGATCTAAAAATAGAAAATGTCTAAAATCTAAAAATGTAACTACAATTATAAATATGTAATCTGTATGTACTGTATATCTTAATCATAAAGTACAGGATACAGGAAAGAATTTATTGCCCCTGGGTTACCAACTCGCATCTTCAGGTACTGCACAATGGCAAGCTTTTGAGGACATCCCCACTGGGCACCTCTTTATAATCCCACCCCACTCTGTAAATCTTCAGTTTTGTGCTAGTGGACTTTTTCACAGAAAAATCACTCTTAGGCCCCTTTCACACGGCGGTTAGATTTCAGCTTTTATCTGCGGTTAGAGGAACTTATTTACCGCAGCTAAATGCAGACAACGCATCTCTAGGACTCCATTCATACACTGTGTTTTGCAACATTTTCATAACATACGTTTTTTTTTTTGCGTTTAGGAAAAATAAAGTTGACAGCATCCAGGAGCGATGTACCACAGCTATCTATACATAAACACAGTTAAATCGCAGTACAAATAAAAAATAAGTAAACAATTGCTATAGAAAAGGCAAGAATTTACTACCGCAGATAAACGCAAAGTATAAACACAAGTGATCTCTGTGCCAGGAGTGTTGCAATTTCAAAATAAAAAAACATGCATTTACAAGTGGCAGAACAACTGCCCCTGTGAAAGAGGCCTTAGATTAATTACTTTATCGTTGGATTCTTCAGTCTCCTCACTGCCTTCTAATGCCACAGACAGAAGCAGCATATCCAGATTGGTGCAACCTCATTAAACCTTGAGAGCATACCCTGACCCCAAGCTGTGTAATGTTGCTCTGGACACAAGATCCTGCATGGGCACTCACACATTCACTTAGTGCATTGTGTATAGTCAACCACAGGGTGCTCCACAGGCCCACAGCTGTGGTCAATTCCTATGGTACTCAGTCCTTGAAGACCCCTTGGAGTGTAAGCCCACCAAAACGGGCAAAGAGTGTGCTTTATATATAAGTCCAGCATTACAGACAGGTAAAAGGGTCACCCTGTATGCTTCTGATTGTTACTGTAACAGATTGGAGCTATAGTAGAATTGTTTTCACTACAATGTACATTTTTTAAAATTTAGCGCAAAACTTGACCACAGCAGAGCTTCGTTTCAGGAGGATGACCTGGTGTTACCTCATACCACAGGTTGCACATTTTATTGCCTTTTCCGCATAGAGACCTTGTATGGTACTATGGTGATTCTTTTCTCCCTTTCGCCATAGGGATTGGCTACAGGGCAGTCTATACACGAATTGCTGCATTCTCCTTCTGGACATTTTACACTATATTTTGCACTCTACTCTGTGAATATCCCACAAAGGAGTACCCTCACACATAGCTATGGCAGAGACCAGGCAAAAGAGAGCCATTGCAAAACATTCACTCTGCCGAAGGCTTGCATATCAATCAATCTTAAAGTGAAGATGTGCTCTTTGCACTGGAGACGTCAAATGTAACACTCTTTCCACCAGAGAAGTCAACTTTAACACCAGTCTCTAAATATGATTCTAGTTCTTTTACCGGCATGCAATTTTCTGCATTTATGTCAAAATTCTTTGAACAAATAACAGTTTTAACACAGTCATCTTTGCCCAGGCTCAAAAATGCCATAACCCTAATCCCGTATCTATATCAATATGTCTTCCCTACACAAGGCAGACACAGAAGGGAATGAAGATGATATTGAGGCAAATATTGGAGAAAGTTGTGGAAGATTTCTCTTCACCACATTTCTGCATTTTTGAGAAGAGAACTACACACAACATGCTTGCTAATGTGTAAAATGCTGCAGTCCGCAAAACCCTTGGTATTTTGGAGCTTATTCCTCCTCCATCTCACCATGCCTCTTTGGGTACAAAAAGACCCTTTTCCAAAAAGACATTCCTTGTTCATGAACAGATAGAATGTATAGATAAAATCTATGATGATTGGATTTCTACAGAAATAATTTTCACGGCTCTCAAAATCCTTACTGAATTCTATCCAGTGGAAAAAGAATTCACTAAACTTTCTGCATCTAAGTCTTAAACAAACATCTTGCTATGCCTATTGAAGAAGTTCCTTCTTTCAAAGATTCTGTCGCTAGAAACTTTAAAACAATCTTAAAATCTCTTTTAACTGTGGTAAGCCTGGCCTCAGAACCAGCTCTCATTGATTTCAGTATTTTAAACAACGGCTAACTGGACGAGGGCAATGAACAACCAATATGCCAATATGACCCTGTTATCCAGGACTGTGCTTTAATAAAGCAATTACAACAAATACATTCTGCTTTGTTTTTTTATATGGATTCCTTAGTAAATGTCTTGAGATAATTTCCAGAATAGCCCTAATCGTCATTCATTTATGCAGAATCCTGAGGATAAAAACCTGGACAGCTGAAGCTGCCCACAAAAGACACCTCACAAGTTTGCCATTTCAAGGAAGTCATCTATTTGGGGAGGAGCCTGAGCAATTCATAAAAGATGTCACAGGAAGGAAGGTTTTATTTCCACAGCAGAAGATCCCCAAAATTCCCTCCTCAGGAGCCTCTACCTGAACATCTAAGTCTTCTACCCAGGCTTCAACTTCTAAACCTAAGTTCAGCTCTTACTTTCAGCGTAAGACTTGGACCACAAACCCCAGCAAGTCTTCCCAAATGAAGTGAAAACTCCCAGTGAAGACTCCTAAGTGTGGGGGATGTTATAGTTTGCCTCTCTGGGTCACAAATGTCCCAGACCTGTGGGTTCAATTGGTTGTTTCAAGGGGGTACAACAGAGTTCAAAACTCAACCCCCTCACCACTTTCTTCTCTCAAATCAACCAAAGGTTGTTCTTACAGCTGTCAACAAATTCCACAATACAATTCAGCTGTTCCAAGCTTTCAGTTGGGTGATCAATTTTAAAAATTCTGCTTTCTAGCCTTCTCTTTGCCTGGAATACTTGGGTCTGGCTCCATAATTTGATGTATGGGAATAATGCAAATGATATTTTCAGTCCATATCCCAGGAGTAGACAATTAGAAAAAACTGCCTGGGTTAAGAGGAATAGGCTCTTTTCATCCAGACATCTTTAGATGTCCGTTTATGAAACTGATCCTGAGGATCGCTGCTAATTTCAGTACATAAGTTGTTTATGAAACAGAGATGATCAACAGAGAATATGTTGTCCACTGATCATCCCAGCACACAGAGAATCTGTCATTGAAAGACACAAAAATGGCCAGTTTATGAAGGATCGATGTCAGCCCTTCACTAGCGTTCTGTGTGAAAATTCTCCCTCCCAGATTATCCAGCTCAGAGGTGGAGAATCGGGCAGAGAAGAGTGAATCCTGAGGAGGAAGGAGGATGATTGTGGACTTCCTTCCTCCTCAATCAGAAACCCCAAGACAGTAGAAAAGCCCCCCTGCCTTTCACAACCCCCGATGGGGTACAGCAAGTTAGAAATACTATATATACACACACACACACTATATTTCCAAAAGAATTGGGATACCTGCCTTTACACACACGTAAACGTTAATGGCATCCCAGTATTAGTACGTAGGGTTCAATATTGAGTTGGCCCACCCTTTGCAGCTATAACAGCTTTAACTCTTCTGGGAAGGCTGTCCACAAGTTTTAGGAGTGTGTATATGGGAATTTGACCATTCTTCCAGAAGCGCATTTGTGAGGTTAGGCAACTGACATTGGATAAGAAGGCCTGGCTCGCAGTCTCTGCTCTAATTCATCCCAAAGGTGTTCTATCAGGTTGAGGTCATGGCTCTGTGCAGGCTAGTCAAGTTCCTCCACCCGATACTCACTCATCTATGTCTTTATGGACCTTGCTTTGTGCACTGGTGAGCAGTCATGTTGGAACAGGAAGGGGCCATCCCCAAAACTGTTCCCACAAAGCTAGGAGCATGAAATTGTCCAAAATGTCTTGGTATGCTGATAGCTTAAGAGTTCCTGTGTGGAACTAAGGGGCCAAGCTCAATCCCTAAAAAACAACGCCACACCATGATACCCTCCACCAAACTTTACACAATGCAGTCAGACAAGTACTGTTCTCCTGGCAACCGCCAAAATCAGACATGTCCATCGGATTGCCAGACAGAGAAGAGTGATTTGTCACTCCAGAGAACACATCTTCACTGCTCTAGAGTCCACTGGCTGTTTACTTTACACCACTGCATCTCATCTGACACTCTGCATTGCATGTGGTGATGCAAGGCTTGAATGCAGCTGCTCAGCTATGGAAACCCATTCCATGAAGCTTTGTTGTGCTAATCTGAAAGTCACATAAAGTTTGGAGGCCTTTAGCTATTGACTCTGCAGATAGTTGGCGACTTCTGCGCACTGTGCGCTCCAGCATGCGCTGACCCCGCTCTGTCATTTTACGTGGCCTTCCACTTCGTGGCTGAGTTGCTGTTGTTCCCATTTGCTTCCACTTTGTTATAAAACCACTAACAGTTGACCGTGGAATATTTAGTGGTAAGGAAATTTCACGGATGGACTTATTGCACAGGTGGCAACCTATCACGGTACCACACCTGAATTCACTGAGCGTCTGAGAGCAACTCATTCTTTCACAAATGTTTGTAGAAGCAGTCTGCATGCCTACATGCTTGATTTTATACACATGTGGCCATGGAGGTGATTGAAACACCTGAATCCAATGAGTTGGAGGGGTGTCCCAATACTTTTAGTAATATAGTGCAGCGTTTTTCAACCACTGTGCCGCGGCACACTAGTGTGCCGTGAGATATTGTCTGGTGTGCCGTGGGAAAAATTCCAATTTCATCTGTAACATGTGGCTTCGGCTCACAAATAGACCAATCATTAGAATCTAATGATTCAGTGGTCGGCAAGCCGCGGCTCGCGAGCCACATGCGGCTCTTTACCCAGTCTAATGCGGCTCTTCTGTGTGCCGGGCGCCTGCTCCCCTCCCTCCTCTCGGTCGGCCGCTCCCCTGCCTCCTCTCGGTTGGCAGCCCCAAAAGTCCGCGCGGACCTTTTAATCCGGCTTGCGGATGTGGCTGTCAGGATGTGTGTAGGCGGGGCAGCGTGCCGAACGTGAGGGGAGGGGAGCTAGGCTCCTCTCACAGTCCGCCCTGAAGACCCGAACGGCGCGGGAAGACAGCGAGAGGAACGCAAAAGGTAAGTGAATTGACACGGGGGACTTGGCTTACTAGAAGGGGGGGGGGGAATAGTACTGTGGGGGATGAAATACTATATGAGGGATGAATTACTTTATGAGGGATGAAATACTATATGGGGGGATGAAATACTATATGGGGGATGAATTACTATATCAGGGATGAATTACTATATGAGGGATGAAATACTATATGGGGGGATGAAATACTATATGGGGGGATGAAATACTATATGGGGGGATGAATTACTATATGAGGGATGAAATACTATATGGGGGGATGAAATACTATATGAGGGATGAAATACTATATGGGGGATGAATTACTATATGAGGGATGAATTACTGTATGAGGGATGAAATACTATATGGGGGGATGAAATACTATATGAGGGATGAAATACTATATGAGGGATGAAATACTATATGGGGGGATGAAATACTATATGGGGGATGAAATACTATATGAGGGATGAAATACTATATGAGGGATGAAATACTATATGAGGGATGAATTACTATATGAGGGATGAAATACTATATGGGGGGATGAAATACTATATGGGGGGATGAAATACTATATGGGGGGATGAAATACTATATGAGGGATGAATTACTATATGAGGGATGAAATACTATATGGGGGGATGAAATACTATATGGGGGGATGAAATACTATATGAGGGATGAATTACTATATGGGGGGATGAAATACTATATGAGGGATGAATTACTATATGAGGGATGAAATACTATATGAGGGATGAAATACTATATGGGGGGATGAAATACTATATGAGGGATGAAATACTATATGGGGGGATGAAATACTATATGAGGGATGAAATACTATATGAGGGATGAATTACTATATGGGGGATGAAATACTATATGAGGGATGAAATACTATATGGGGGATGAAATACTATATGGGGATGAAATACTATACGGGGGATGAAATACTATACGGGGGATGAAATACTATACGAGGGATGAAATACTATACGGGGGATGAATTGCTATGGGGGATGAATTACTATATGGGGGATGAATTACTATGGGGGATGAATTACTATATGAGGATGAATTACTATATGGGGGATGAATTACTATATGGGGGATGAATTACTATGGGGGATGAATTACTATGGGGGATGAATTACACTATGGGGGATGAATTACACTATGGGGGATGAATTACTATATGGGGGGATGAATTACTATGGGGGATGAATTACTATATGGGGGATGAATTACTATATGGGGGATTAATTACTATGGGGGATGAATTACTATATGGGGGATTAATTACTATGGGGGATGAATTACTATGGGGGATGAATTACTATATGGGGGATTAATTACTATGGGGGATGAATTACTATGGGGGATGAATTACTATATGGAGGATGAATTACTATGGGGGATGAATTACTATATGGGGGATTAATTACTATGGGGGATGAATTACTATATGGGGGATTAATTACTATGCTTACTATGGGGGAATATTACTATACTTACTATGGATGACACATACACATCATTCATCTACTCTTGGTCCGGCCCCCGGGTCCAAATATAAAATACTTTATTATTTCATAATAAAGTAATTATAAAATAATTTCTTTGTGTTTGATTCCTATTCAAGAGAATTACTTTATATATAGTCAATATAGGCACAGAGGTAAATTTTTTTTAACATTTTCTAATGGTGGTGTGCCTCGTGATTTTTTTCATGAAAAAAGTGTGCCTTTGCACAAAAAAGGTTGAAAAACACTGATATAGTGTGTGTGTGTTTGTGTCTGTGTATGCAGTGAATGCGGTTATTTACATTGTATGATAAACTGACACCTTAATCTGATAATTCAGAAATGGGGAACTCCAGCTGTAGACATCCTAGCCTCCAGATTCAATAACAAACTACATCTGTTTGTAGCCAGGACCAAGGATCCTCTACCACTGACCTAGGATGCCTTTATAATTCTCTGGTCTCAGTTCAGGCTAATATATGCCTTCCCTCCAGTCCAAACTTTGCCCCAGCTGTTCAAAAGATAGAGCAAGAGAAGAAAACGGTGATTCGTTTGCACCAAACTGGCCCCGAAGATCATAGTGCAAAGATATATTGAGACGTCTAGCAGATGGCTCTTGGCCCCTCCCTAACAGGCCAGATCTGCTGTCTCAGGTTCCTCTTTATCACCCTGCTTCTTAGTCACTGGCTTTCATGCCATGACTGTTGAAGTCCAGGTCTTAAAAGATACAGGGGTCTCTGAGTCTGTTATTCCTACCTTGCTGGTAGTAAGAAAAGCCACTTCCAGGAGGATCTACCTGGAAATCCTTCTTTGCCTGTTGTAAACACAGGCACTTCAATCCAAGAGATTACTACGTGCCTCGCATTCTCGCCTTCCTGCAATCAGGTCTTGACCTGAAGTTAGTCTTAAACACTCTGTACCAGGTCAAAACCTGTCCTTTCATTCGCCATGTGATCTTCAGCTTTTCTCCAAGGTGTACCTCACATCAGGCCCCTCATTGCAGCACCCTGTGCTTCTTTGGGATCTCAATTTGGTTCGACCAAAATGTCTATGAAGTGCAGTTCCATAGACACCCACAGATCGGGAGCGAGCTTGCATATATGCCCCCGTAGCAAGTGGCTTGCTATGAGGGTACACAGAGAAGAGGAGGAACCAAGGTTGCCAGCAGGGGACCAGATTAAAGGAGATTCAGGGCTGCACTCTGCAGTTTATTATTTTATATTTAAAAATGCCTTTATTAACACTTTAAGCACTTTGTGTAAGATGGACAGTGTAGCTGAATATCACTATATATTGGATTGAATGGCTTTAAACTGGTATTCACTAAAACATTTACTGTTTTGCATATAACTTTTCAGAAATGCCAAATGTATTAACAAGGGATTTGTATTTTAGAATCAAAATTAGCACAGTCAATGTATGATTCTAACTGAAAGCCTTTCTAGCCTTTCTATAGACAAACAATTGAAGGAAACCAGGGTGAACACAAAGAAAATGCAGTGGCTCATGGGTGACTGGGTGGCTCAACACCCAAGGAACTGAGCAAACTTTCCGTGCTAGGTAAAGCCCTTGATAAAACTGACCCCTCATACAAAAGAAACATGAAACAAAAGAAAAAAACTCTTTAATCTCTCTAGTACAAATATCACGTTTCGAGGCTAATAAAATTAATGCAATATTAAAATATAATTGTTTGCAAGTAATTTGTTGGGTCCTTCCAACCCTAACAGAAAAAAAATTCTTTGATTTAAGCCCACACCAATGCATCCTCCAGTGGAAACACCAATGATGGTTTCAATGTTCAAAACACATTTTTAGACCTCTCTCTAAACAAGCTATTTTATAGTGAATATCTGCTGATAGATTGCGCATATAAAAATGCAAAATGCCAGTTTATTTTGCATGGAATCGAACAAGGTGAAAATCTGGTCTGAAATAATGTACATCATTTGAGCTTGCTTAAAATCTCTTTTGATGAAAACGAAGCCTAACTCTTGGTGGGTAGTAAAAACCTCACAACTTTCCTACTTAAAGTGTAAGTTCACCTTCAGTAACATTTTTCAAAAAGTCCCTTATGCAATTCCATATCTTCTAAATAGTAAACACCAGTGCTCCTCCTTTTTCAAATGCAGCACTTCCACCCAGTCCACATGTAGATGTGGGGGGCCTCTCTGCAAAAAACTTTAGCCCTTCAATCCTCCTCTATTTTGCCATTTGAAGGACAGCTGCTACCAAGTCTTCAAACTGCACAGTGTGCTCAGTTCCTCTCTAGCTGAGCTCAGTAGCGGTCATACTGGTCCATTCATTTTATGCACAACTGTAGTGTTCAGCAATTGGCATGGAGTAGGGTGGTCACAGGGAATTTTTTGTGGATGGCCCCCCTCACAACTGCATATGTAATGGCAGGAGGTGCAGTACGTGATACAGAAGGATCATTGCTATGTACTATTCAGAAGACATGAAATTGCATAGAGGGAATTTTGGAAAATGTTACTGAAAGTGGACATTTTGCTGCCCAAGTAAAGTGTTTAGTTGTTTCCCTGAAAATACTGAGGGCATTATGTATGACATTTGTTTTCTAGTTGCCACTGTAACACGTAAAAAAGGATGCTGTGACCAATATAAGACAGCTAAGACATGGGTGTCACCATTTTAAAATTTTAAATGTGATTTGGGTAATGGCTTGCTAATACAAAATATTGTTTACATTCTCATCTACAAAAAAGAAAGACAGAATGTTTTAATACTATAGCCAATAGTCCTACAGATGACTGAGAGCTGAGCATATTCTCCTTATTTATTGAACGTAATGGAGGGGATTTATTGAGAGTGGAAAAGCCAGAATCTGGAGCAACTGTGTATAGCAACCATTCAGCTTCTATGTTCAGAAGATGATTGTCAATCAACACAGGTCTCCCCAGCACAGTTC